GTGGGAGACTCCCCCCCGACCAGCTGACTCAAGCACCTTCAAGGTCACCGCCCAGCAGCCAGGAGGGTCACTAGTTGTGAAAGAGATCTTTTTTGAACAGTTTGGTGACTTGGACGAGTTTGCAGCGGTCATTGAGCAACACAACAAGACCTACAACACTGATGGACTTCGTTTGAAGGAGACTGCTGTGACCCCCCAGAAAAAGGCTGAGATTGAAAAGACTCCTGTTCTTTCAGTGGACGAGCCCCTGACTTCGGCCAAGATGTCTGCTCTTCCAAACGCGTCTCAACCTCAGCCAGGAAAACATGTGGTAGTTTGTTAGTGACTTGTGAATCCAATTTATACAATGATATGGGGGCCAGGGTCTCATTCATGCTCATTCTAAGGTCTTCACTGGCCCTAAACTCACAAGTGTCTTTGGTGGTCGACCAGACTGGTGAACAGATCTTTGCAATGTCTGAAGAACAGTGCACCCTGTTGCATCACCGTGAACTGTGTTCGTTCGGCTCTGGAACATGGTACGATGGCGCCGACGCAGTGGAGTGCATGGAGAGTGATGGGAAATGGATTTCTTGTTGTTTTACCTTTGACACTCCAATCATATTGGAGAAGAAGGGAATCTTCACCCATCTACAAACCCTCTCTTGTTTGGACAAGGCCGTGCGCCTACGGGAACTCTTGACCCTTCTTGAGGATGCGGGGGAGGCACTTGCTTTATATATAATGTGCATGGCAAAGCAATGAACAAACGCATCCCAGCTACCACACTTGCTGTATCCTGGGCAGGTTCGTGTGGGGATCTTTCATCACGAGGTCAATTTGACTGAGGATACCATCCGCCAAGAGAAAGCATTGTGCTTTGTTTGTGACAACAAGAAGGATCCAGATCCAGAAGAGCCACCAAAAAAGAAACCGCGTAAGACCAAAGAAAAGGAGAAGGACAAGAATCAGAAGCCTAAAGATCCTGCCAAGAAGGCAGTGGAAACAAATAGTCTACTGCATCCTACTTGTTTCTCAAGGCTGGTCCATGTTGGCCAAACAACTCAACAAACTGTTTAGTATTGCCATGGATTCGACTAGGCATCGTCGGCTACCACATTCGGCTCCAAATTTGATTTGAAGAAACTTGTGAGCTCCGATGCCTTGAAGATTGGTTTCAGGGCGAGGCGTGGTCCTAAAAATTCAGTTGTGTGACTTAAAACTCCTGCTCATCAAGCCTGCTGGGCACCAGACACCAGCCAGGCTGGAGACATCTGGCGGGAAGACATCATTGAAGCCACAGCGGCCTGTGTGCGTGCTAAGTGGACAGCTTGATTTGGAAGCTTCCCAAGTGGTGAAGCTCATGTAAGCGGGACATGCGGAGCAAGATTTGGGGATTTTGACATCGCCTAAGAACCCCACCCACACTTCTCAAACCTGATCCCCAATCCATTGGTGTTGCAAAATGCTTATGAGATCCGCCAAACTAGGATGGAATGTAGGACGCCTTTGAGGTGGCACTGGCTGGGTTGGGAGGGGTGTGCTCCGAAGTTCAGACTCTGAAGATCTAACGTTGATTTTACTTTAGATGTCCAATGTGTTTCTTTATAGCGTTTTATAGGAGCCAATTTACAACACTGCAACTCAATGGTTTTGTGGGTCTTTGTGTTTCCATCATTCAGAGCATACGGCCTTCAACCGAGCCCTCGGAGAGCCTTGTCAGGAAGACTGACCATGGCACAGTGCAAGAGACGGCACCGCATGCCGCACATGCACAAATGGTGAATGAAATCGATTTTCAGGTGGTGGCATGTTTCTTTGTGTGGTTTCTAGAAACTAGACACTGTTCTGCGATTTTGTATGTATGCAATGTGGCTTCGAGGGAAAGTGGTGACAAGTAGGCCCTGTAGTCAGAAGTCTGGTTCGGACAAGTGGGGGCATGTCTGAGTCGGACTGTGAAATGGTTGACACTTGCCAAGCTGCCCATCATGTGACGCCAGCTGGAAGCCCAGTGACTCTATTGGATCTAAATATCAATCTGCGAATCTGAATCTACATTAGAGTCTGCACAGATTGAGCCACGGCAATCAAACGATGTTGGATCCAAGGCCTTCAATTTGGCAAACCTTATGGGTTCAATGAGTGGCCACGCAAGTTCAGCCACACAGGGGGGACCTACAGCTACACCGAAAGCCAGGGTTCAGCTCACTCCAACCCCAAAGGTGAAAGCACCATCTCCGGCTTCGAGTTCAGGCCGACCCTTTTTTTGCTGCAAAAAGTTTTGAGTTCAAGTTCTTGCTGCAGCAATTTGCAATTTGCACTTGTACTTGGTTCTTTTTCACCCTACCGCTGGACATCTTCGTTGCACTTCATTTGGGGCAGGATTGCCTCCTCGATTCAATGCTTCAGCCTCTTCGTCCGAAGATACACCGCCCAACCAGGATGGAACAGGTCCACAACCCAAGACAGGAAAACCAGGAACAGAAAAACCAAAGCAACCTCGCAAGCTTGCAGCAAAAGCAAAAACAAACAAGAAAAAAGGAAAACCTGATGATGATGAGGATGAGGATGAGGATGGTGACGGTGGTGATGAACCAAACACAAACCTTGGACGGCGAAATGATGATGACTCTGACAATGAGGGAGAACCAGGTGAAGGTTCAGGTGATGTGAAGCCGAAGAAGCGTCCGGCAGTGCGCGGGCAACCACGTAAGCCGAAAGGCCAGGCCCCAACCCTGTAAAGGCATGTTGTGCAATCTCCCGGGTCAGGCAAAGAGCCAGCGAAATCTCACAAGAAGCCTGGCCGCAAGCCCACCAAGAAGGATGATAAGGCGTGCGAGAAGTAATTCAATCTGTCAACAAATACACGTTGAACATTCAGCGTTGGCATTCTCAGTCTCATATTCAGCGTTGGCCTTTTGACAGTTCTGCAGGATGAGCAGGGTGAGCCCAAAGAAGATGACATTCTTGCTACGTTGAAGGCAGGTTTTCTTTTTTTTTTTCGCTTTTTGGGCTGTGGCAGTGTCCTTATAAGTGTCCCTCCAGTGGTCGGTGCATGGAACAAATTATATCATATTGTTTGTTGGGTGCAGGACCAGGTGAAAAAGCGAAAAGTCCAGCCGGCAGCCCCTGAAGTGGAAACCTGCCCAAGCCCGAAGCTACAGAGGTTGAATGCAATGATGTTCGACCAGATTGAAGATTCAGGTGTGCCTGGACCAGAATCAGGTCCTCTCTCCTGGACTGAGTGGCATGATGAAGTTTGGCGTACCTATCAGGACACTTCGGTTGCTGAGCACACCCCACAGGAGGGTGAAGCAGCAGGTTTGAATGCCTCTTCAGCTGCTCACGGAGGAGGCTGGGCAAGTGTGACAAAGTCAGTAAGCCAAATTCGCTATGTTGTTTGCTTGCCTGGATTTCAACACTTTTACAAAGCGTATTCTTGCCAAAAGGTGGTGATCCTGCATTGTCAGATGCAGAAACCCTTGTTCTTCCTGGTGTTCCGGCCAAGGAGCAGCAAATGTTTTTGAATCCGTCATCGTCCTTCATGTGTTCTTTCCTCTTCCATTGATTCAGGACTTCATTGAATTGCGTCCTGATCATGAGGCCCTGCTAGTCACTGTCGCCCATTCAAATCATTGTGAATTGGAAGATTGTTGGTTGCTAAGAGTTGAGACCTCCTGCATTCTTGAGGTGTCCGCTGATTCCTACTTGCCTTCTGATGATCCAAAGATGCGTTCCTTGGAGGTACGCAGTCATACAGTCATGCAATAGCTGGCTAGCACGCACATGTTTCCTTTTGACTGATTGATCGATCATATGCATCAGGTGATTCCAACACCACTCCGCAATTTGAATGAGGTTGGCCTTGAAGAATTGAAACGTTGTGATTTGTGCAATTGATAGCATGGAATGGTTGGTGCGTGTAGTATGGAAAGCACAGAATAGCACTTCTTGACATGGGCCCAAAGCAGCTGCTTGATGTGCAGGCCTTTGATGATGCGGTCGTGGCTGGGGGTGATGCTGTGAATCACAGTGACGCTGGTGTGGCTGTGGCTGGGGGTGATGCTGTCAATCACACTGACGCCGGTGTGGCTGTGGCTGGGGGTGATGCTGTGAATCACAGTGATGCCCCAGAAGCAAAAGCCAAACCAGCACCCAAAACGCGATGCAGGAAGAATGAACAGAAGCCTGACGGAAGAAACGCTGGAAAAAACAATGAGAAAAAGAAGAAGGAAGAAACAGGAAAGGCAGTGCAGAAGGATAAGACAGCAAAGGGGACAAAGAAGTCATCTAAGGACTTCTGATAAATTTGTTTTAGAGTTGATTGAATGAAAGATGAATTAAGAGAGAACTGACATTTGTTTACAGGATGATGATCGATGGACTGAGCAACATTTGAAGCACGCGCTTCATAGTGTTTGGACCTTGGTTTCTTCTCACTGATCTACACCTGATGCACCGTAACTTGATGAGGCCTATTCTTGCGGGTGGAAGAAGGCAAAGTATCATGGCAGCAAGAATCCTGAGGAGTGGCGTGAAGCGGGACTTAAAGAGCGCAAGATGCGTTTGTGTGCTTTGAGGGAGGCAGGAGTGGCTGTGGCGTTGAACTATACGCTTCCAGATTTGAAGTAGTCTTCGGGATCTAACACGGCCCGATCTATGCTCTGGAAAGCCTGATGTGTTTTGCACACATAGGCGCTTGGGGGAAAAGAGTTTGTCCTTCCTGGCTGTTCCACTTGCTTTACTTGAACATGAAATGCAGTGCCAACTGTGCCAGTCACTGTCCAATGCCAGGTCGATGTGACCAGAAATTAGAAATTAGACTCTAGACATTGTCCGTGAGTGCGGAGAAAAAGAGCCGCTCGTGGAACCCATTGAGGTGGGTTGAGAGCCTCCAATTTGGACACCCACTTACTAAATGTAAAACACCCACTTACCACTGGAAATGCTGTGTAAATACTGCTACTTGTACCCCCCCTTCCAAGCAGCCATAGCGCCCGCGCCGTTGGTGGCCGCCCCAGGATCGCCGTCAAGGCCTTGGTGCATTGGCTCGAGGATCTGGATGGAAGCTTTCTGGAGGCGCCTCCCCGACCGTCTTGGCTCCGAGAGAGGGTCTCGGCTTTGGCCCCTTCGGACGTCGGTGTTGGGTCGGGACTTGTGGCGCTTGTGGTGTGCACAGGGGGAGGAGGAGGTTGCGGTATGTCAAAAACTCGCTCGCGTGGATGCCGAACCGTGGTGATGCTTGGCGTGTTTCTTATAGTCACATGTAGGGAGTACAGGGACGCCGCGGCAGTGCATTGGACCATGTTGGGCAGTGCATTGGACCATGTTGTTGTTTTTGGGAATGTGCCTGCTTATGCATGGCATCTTTTTGTGCCCGCCCTCCCAGTTCCAGGAGGAAGGTCGTGGTTCGGAGCGCCGAAAGCTCTACAGCGAGGTGTCTTGGTTTTATGGTATGGCGACTTGTGAGGGTCGATATCCACAAACACATGGCCTATAGGTGGGAGAGCCATGTAGAGCCATTGTAGTAAGCATGTGACAACATGTGGATTTCCGTAGATCGATTGAAATTGGGCTGCTGCTAACTTGTGCTGTCTCTTTGCCGGTGGCTGTCGCCCTTGTTGTTCTTCGTTCCACCAACACCTGGAACGCGACCGCGACTCCTCGGCCGCCGACGACTCTGCCCGTCGCCGCCTGAGGAGTGGGATGCCTTGGTCTTGTACTCCGAGCTCTCCGATGCCCAGCTCTGTGGCGACGACGCCGAGGCGGAGCGCAAGCGGGTGCTGCGCACCTCGGCTGGGAGGCGCTGGGAGGCGAGGGAGCAGGGCTGGGCTGGGAGGGGAGGAGCGGTTGGTTTTTTTTCAGCAACAACGGGGACGGGGGGCTTGGCAGGGCTGGGTCTAATGAAGCAAATCTGTTCCTCACAAAAGAAGCAAGAAAAGACATGGTTTGGAAGAGTTTTGCACTTTCTCACTCGGGTTTGGCCTGATCTATTTTTGTTTTTGAGTGTAACAGTGGTGTAAACTGGTGTGGGGTGAGCCGCACGGGGGGCGGAACCTGAAGAACCTGAACCGGAGTGACTCAGCCACCGTTGTGGAACCTGGCAATCGAACAAGCACCTTGTGGCCATCAAGCACGTTGAACGAACCTGATTGGCACATATCCCAGACACTGCATGTATGCCATATATGCCCCCAAACCGCCCCAACTGATTGGCATATTATATGGCAGTCCCATGGAGTGCCTGGGTATTGGCAGCTCCAAGCCATTCCGATCTTCGCGACCTCCGTGTCTCGTGACCCTCGCAACCTCCGATCTTCCCGAGCACCGGAGCCTCGGCTCGACGGTGGGAGCGCCAAGGTGGCTACTCCGCCTCAGGCGCGTGGCAGCCCGGCACCGGCCGGGAAGGCGTCCGCGTGGAGAACCACCAGAAGTGGCCGGAGTTGCTTGGAGGAGCGATCGGGAGATATGGGTCAGTGTTCAGATCGACTCAGGACTCAGGCTTATGGAGGCTTGCCTGTGAGTGAGGAGTTGTTTTCTTGGCATTTCCACGGTAAAGAACATCAACATCCTGTTGTAGGGTCAGGTCCCGGCAGAGTGCAGAGGGGACCCTACCGAGTGCCCGGACTAGCGGGGCGATTTGGAGGCCTTGGTTGAGTATGAGTAGGGGTGGAGTGGTGGTCATGTCCAGCAGGTGGGGTGGAACATGAAAGGCGTTCTTGGAACACATGTATCTTGTATCGTTGTATATCATTGTATCTTATTCCCAGACGCTCCATGGGACGTCCCTTCTATGCCGCCCCGACCCCTCAGACCACCCCACCTGATCGGTAAATATGACCTGTCCCATTAGTCGCGGTTTCTTTCACTTCTTTGACTTTCGCGCATCGCCATCAATCAGCACGGTGCAACGGATTTGTCTGGCGTCCGGTGCGGTCCAATTCGATCTCCGTTCCGCTTACGGTGCGAAGGATGCCCCGGTCATGTGGGAGACTGGGTCTGTTGAGAGTGGCGACAGAAGTGATAACAAACATACCTAGACCCTCCAAGGGGTGTCCTGGCTGGACTACCCCACACTACCTAGGATGGCTTCCAGACAGGGCACCCCGACAGGAGGGTCCTGGTACAGAAACACACAGATACCATGAAGAGACCAGAGGATATCAACTGCGAAAGCCTGCTCCTCCACCTCTCCGGCCCCCTTTAAACGGATCATGCGCTGGGTCCGGTCGCTCGCTGACTGAGGTTCCGAGATCACTACTGGGGGGAGGCGCCGGAGCACTTGCGACAGCAGGCGCAAGTGGCACTGGAGCAATTGGAGGCGCAAGTGGCGCGAGACTTACGGTCTCATCAAAGCGTTGAAGGGATCCACATGTAGACAGAAAGTATCAGCACCCGACTGTACAGGTCTCCGAAATGGAGGATTTTGTAGACTTAAAAGGTCGCAGGTGGTGACCTGTTGGAGGGTCCTGGTATTGAACATGTACGTGCTCCAGAATACACCGTGGGAACACACCTCGATACCTGCCTGGTGACGTTTGCATATTGCGAACGTGGAGCCGTTGCCACTCCACAAGCCATTGCTTTGCCACTGTGGTATATATTTGCTCGCGCATTCGATTTTTTCCTACTCCAGGATGTTCAAGTATGTTGAATAAGTCATCGCCGCCCTTGAGTAGCCATTTAGAAGATGTGATGATGCTGTACCGTACAGAACGCAATGGCGCTTTAGAACCTAAACTTCTGGAAACTCCGCGGAGTCTTATATGTACCGAGAGAATATCCTGGTACCTTACCTTGCCCACTTGGTCCCACGATGGGCATGATGCCCCAAAACATAGCAGTTTCATCGTTCGCATCAAGCAGGTTATGGTCGGGGTGGTTCATGGACTCCCCGAAGCACCTCTGAGGCGCCATGTATGTGTACCGAAATGGAATTTTCCCCGGACGTGTCTGTGTCCAAGGGTCAAGGTGGTCAAGGTGGCGGTCGAGGGTGGCGGTTGGGTGGACTTCGCCTCGCCCTGCAGGCGCGATGGCCTCAATTCAGCGCACAGGGACCCATGAATGTTTGGGCGCCTCGGTTGAAACCGCCGCCGGAGGGTGGATGCTGGGCCGTTGGACGGTGGAGCCTGGAGCGAAAAGTCCGACCTCTTGATATGACCAGCCCCCCCCCCCACATGTGAGGAGGTTTTACCATCTATGTCCGGGGGGAGGATTGATTTGAATCGCCTGAAATGAGGGCGAACAGGTTGCCGGCCAAGCCGTTCCGAGCTCTTGGAAGAAATTATGCAAACCACCCCTCATTCAACTAAGTAACTAGATCCTCATAGGGTGTGTCCCATTACCAGTACTAGTCAGGAAAGCGAGCTCAGAAGGAGCTCAGCGGAAGTTGTTGTTTAGTGTGTCCCATTACCAGTACTAGTTGGTAAAAACATTACTATACCAGGACACCCTAAGGAGTGTCTATTGATAGCCCCGTAGAGGTGATTTGGGGTACCCATCAAAGAAACGCTCACAATGATACCCCTATGAAAAAGACTATGCACCCGTACCAGGACTCACGGTCGGGTGGTTCATCGACGCCCCTTATAGCTTATATAACATTATACAACTTCTAAGTGGCTATCAATAGACACCTCAAACAGGGAGTCCTGGTACTTGATATGCTGCACACCCGTCCAAAATATCCCCGTGATTGTTGGCTGATAAAATGTAGATCCTTTTCTCTTGCAAAATGCAAATTCCAAGACATATTTTATAAACATGAGTAAGGATAACGACATCAGATCTGGAATCTGGAGTATCAATGTACATAGGTCATAGGTCATAAACTTTACTAACTTGGACACTGAATGACAGATCCAGCTTGAGGGCATTCCCAAGACAGGGCCACCTTTGGCCACGGCGACCGGGGTAAGCGAACCCCACGTCTTCGGGGCCGCAGGTGGCCAAGCCGGGGAGCTGTTCGAAGGGCAAAGGGGTGATTTGCAGCTCGGGCAGTTGGCCGTTGGGCAGCGCGGGTGGCGAGCGAACGCGGTGGAAGGCACGGTGGGACTCATGTGGGTTGAGTGGTCAGAAAAGGTGTTTTTTGGGTCCGGAATCCTTTGAAAAGAAGGGGGGGGAAACTAGGGAGGGTCATCCGAATCTGTGGCTGAAGCTTGGAAGCAGAGACCGCCAAATGCATTCGGACTCTGAACAGGTGGTCACGCGGTCACACGAAAAAGGGGCAGAAGCCACTTCCAAGCGAACCCCCAGCTGCACCTGTGCTGCTTCACCGTGGCTGCGCCGCAGCTCGTGGTTAAGGCATGGATTCGCTACCAGAGGTCCTACATCACTGCAAGACCGCTGCCAATCGGATTGTGCAGAAGCAGCTTGACGTCGATGGGAGCAGGGTGCACGTTGCTACTAGTAACAAGGACGCTACTAGGGGCTCCTGGCATCGCTACTAGGAGCAAGGACGCTACTAGGGGCTCCTGGCCATACTACTAGGCAGATGCAACAAGATTCCTACGATGTTGGGAAGGCTTCCTTTTATGAGATCCTCTTTGACCAGATAACTCTTGCCCCACCGGGGCATCCGGCCCGCTGCTTTCATGAAGGTCCTCACCTCCCTCAGGTACATCGAGCGACCCTTGTTGCTCTTCAGTGGCCGCAAGTTCGATTTGCGACAATGGGCAACCTGGCCTTTCAGAGATCTGGGATAGCTGGATGATCAGTTTCGATGCAGTTCAGCAGAGGTCATTCACGCGGCCATTTCAAGGCATTTTCAAGGCATTTCCGGGATCCTTCGGAGTCTTTTTGCAGCGTCCGTCGCCGCGGACGACAGCGCCGGGACGGCGCCCGGTGACCACGGTGACACCGGTTCTGAGCAAGAGATAGCGTCGCTGAGACAAGCAAAAGAGACGGTGCCCACATAAGAAAAGAAGAGAACACAGAAACAATCAGAAACATCATGTATGCTTCCATTGGACACCCCTTACAGGGTCCAGGTATGGTGGTGTAATTGTGGCGTATCAATGACCATTGCCATTGCCGTTTAATGACTCTTGCCCCAAATCGGACGACCATCCCGTCCCGTGTTCGTCCGCGTTCGTCCTCCCTCCTTCGTCCTACCCCTACGGCACCGAGGTTTTGGTGCGCTCCTTCCAGCCCCTCAAGGCTCGGGCCGAGCCTGGCGGCGGTTGACGTACCGCCCGGGCGGTGCGGTTGACGCGGTGCACGGTGGGGTGCTGAAGATGCGCTGTGAAGAGAGGAGAGGTCCAGGTGAGGAAGGGTGTGCACCTGTAGTAGGTAGCTAGCAAGAAAGTGTTGTTCTTTTCATGCTGCTTTGCCTGTAGAATGCGGAGGGAACGAACTAACTCACTGAGGGGTATATGTGTCTTTGATTCATGATGGGATTCTTCTTGTGACCTTCGTGGTGTGACTGGACAACTCGTTGGAGTTGGCCAATTCTTTGTAGGGCCGACGCAAAGATGGGGGACCAAGCAGATTAAAAACATGAACGGGTTTTGGCCTAGAGCCGGGTTGAAGCCATCCGCAACTGCACCGCCAGACAGGCTGAAGGCATCACCGAATCACTCACCCCCAGAATTTGCGACACGAGGCACCCCAAAAAAGCCTCCCATAGAGTTGACACCACTGGCAGGTCTGTACTGCGGTTTTCGTGATGTTTTTTGCTCAGTGTCACTTTGTCAACACTCCTAAGTGGTACTCTTTGTACGGCCTTTGCCTGCGTCCCCAAAGATGCACCACTCCGCGCGAACATCAGAAGCCCACTCCGTGCCGTTCGGTAGAATTTGACTATCGTGGGCAGTGGGCAGGCCATCTTTATTCGGGTTCCTCTCGGGCTAGAGAGGGGTTGTAAGGAGGGCTGCTTTTGTGCTTTCTAGGTCCCGAAAAGGTTGTTAGTGTCGAGAGTATATGCAAGCATGCCTGGGAACCAGCAGCGAGAACTTGAGTGATATTGAGTGATCCTGTTTTTGGAGCATCACGAAAAAGACACATGCTCAATCAAAGCAGTGGCACCAATGAGGAACCTTTCCTGGAACTACAGAAACCCAGCAGATTGCACCAGGGGTGCCCAGAACATCCACTGAATTTTTCGGACTCCAAGGCGCCCAAGAATCCACGTTCAGGAACTCCAGGTGTGAATTTTAGGCCAGGATCCTGGATCATCCTGGATGCCCCACGTGCTTCACCGGTCGCGTTGGAGGCCCAGCTTGGGGGGAACCTGCGGGGCCCATGCCAGCTCAGCACCTCAGCGCCTGAAACACCCATCAACCACCTCCATTTTCCCACACCGCTCGCCCGGGCCGGGTGACCGTACGTACCTCGTCCGTACCTGAGTTCGGTCCTTCGACAGGTCCACATGTTCTCCTCCTGTTACCTGCGCCTCTGCAACGAGCCCTACGACCTCGGGGACTTGGCGAACCGCCAGCGGCATATCTCCAACTGGCCCCTTTTCGGTCCAAGTGGGGCCTGGCTCGTCGGTGGTTTTGGGGCGGGCCATGGCCCGGTTTTCCGGAGGTGGATCTCGGTGGGTCCACCTCCGGTGCATCAAAGGGACCTGGGGGACCGAGCGAAAGACCGATCAGCAGGGCAAGCGGTTGGATTCCTGGTGTTTCAAGAAATACCAAACAGCCGCTGAACAAACCCTTGGACGCCCTAGTTCTGCAGCTTCGGCTTTGCACTTTGGTATCTTTGGTGGCTTTGCGCGCTCTGATGTGTCAACCAAGGTGGAAATCCCCACCTCCCCCCCAAAAAGGCCCGTGTGCGTAGCGAGCAGGCCCCTGATACCGTGACGGCCGGTCAAAGCATCCGCTGCATGGGTTTTATGGCGCTTTCTGGACCATCCCTGGACCTTGCATGAGCCCCCCACAGCAGGCATTTGGACCCTAACACTTTCCATTGGAGGGCCCGAATTTCTACTGTGGCTTCCATTTGAAGAAGCAGCATGACAGCTGTCAGAGACTCCTGGGAGAGAGAGAGAGAGGAATGGACACAGAGCAGTTCGACATGCCCAAATCAAACACTCTCTCCTTGGGGCATCGACCGGTCGGTTCAAATGCTCCGTGGTCGGGCCATCGGAGCACCGGTTTCGATGGAGACGAAGACGGCGCCACGGACGGTCCAGGTCGGTGAACAAGTGCGGGAAGCACGTGTCGGACGGAGCCGTCGCCAGTCTTCAGGCGAGTGGGGCGGACAGGACGTCGTGGGGGAGGTGCACGGGTGCACTGTGGTGACACGGTGCCACAAGTGGGGGGGGGCTTTTCTGGGATGAGAGGATGGAGGATGGAGATCCTGAAGGGAACCGGACCTGGTTTTGGACCATGAGACACTCCCTGAAGCCACAGAATCACAGCAAAAAGGCGAAGACAGAAGTCGAAGTGGAATTATTTTCACACTTGGCTTTCTGATGAACAGATGAGAACTGATGAGATCTTTGGGGAAACCTGAACTTTACACCACTGAAGACTTGTTTTCCGCTTTTCCCGGTTCCACCAGATGCGCGTCACGTTGCTCCCGGCCGTTCCCGGCTGCGGAAGCTGCGGGAGCGGTGGGGGATCGGTGGAGCTGACAAGACCCAAGAAACGTCCACAGACACGTCCACCATCAATGGCCACACCACTTGTTCTTATGCCGATTCAGCCTGTCTTGGACTATTCTGTTAAGTTCACTTCTCGAACTTAACAGCTGAATTTAGCTTGTCTTGGACAAGTTGGGTTAACTTCTCGAAGTTTCGAATTCTTTAATTCATTTCTACTCATGTAGGATGCGCCCCTCTGACTCTCCAAGCGGTTTGTGCTGCTCCGATGGTTCCGTCTCCTGCTCCCCAGCTTTCTGCACGAGATTGACCTCACTCCCGGCCAGGAATTTCAAGAAGTTTTGGAGATGATCACGGGCAAAAGCACCTGACCTTCAATGACCTTCATATCATGACCTCTGATTCCAAGTCATCTCACTTGGCCATTCCCTCACCACCCGGAGGTGGAGTTTTTGAACGCAGAATTTCGGAACATCCCCTGACTGGCGAGAAAATTCGGTCAACTAAGAACATCACGATGGCTAGGATACAACCTATAGGACCTGTAGCATCCTATAGCCATGATCATCCACTGAAACCTGATAGACCCGGGTCTTCGGTCAGATCTCCCCATCGACCGATCCTACGGATGAATTGCTCCGTCCGATCCAGGAAGGCCGCGCCCGGGTGAAGAAGGTCTGTGGCCGGAGATAGGATTTCTTCACCAAATCCTAGGGCTCCAGGTACCTCACAAGGTAGGAATGGACCCTTTAAACTCACCTCACACACCTTCTTAGAAGATCTTAGAAGGTACTTGGAGCCCAGGGGTGGAAGCTAAGCCTTCAAACAGGCAAGGTTGTTTAAGCGACACGGAAGTTAATGGCAGCTATAGAGGTTGTGATCAAATGTGTTTGTATCCGAAGATTCCGCATGGGTCTCTTCCCACCCGAGCAGCCGAGAACCGTGCTGTTTGAGCCGGGCGCGCGAACAACGATCCGAGGCAACTACTGGGAGACGGAGCTTATTCCACAGCTCAAGAGCTGTATCTTGCAGACGCTCCAGGCGGTGCAGTCCAACATGGTTCAAAGGTTCCTTTGTCGAATTCGAAACACCGACCGTAGCGCGATTTTGTTGTATGGGATGCTGGGGTGGTCCACGGTCTTGCTGGTCTTGTTGTTTTGAAGTGGGTCGCCGTTTGAAGGAGAACGCAAAAGTATGTTCTGACCACCCCAGCTGAGTGCATCTACAACACGTTTTGTAGTCCCTCCATCCCTCCGTCCTCCCTTGGTTGGTCCTGACTTGTCCTGCTTTTCCTAAAACATTCTATGACTGACTGGCGTAACTTAGGACTTGTCTGAGCGCAGATGACCTCGCCCTGTGGGTAGCCGTGTGGGTATGTCACTTGAACCACATTTGCCCAAGTCACTGGACAGTAGTAGCCCTAGACTTCCAAGACCATTGAAAACATGGTTGACCTGGTGTTTGTAGTGTCAAATCCTTAGTTGATTCGGTAAAGCGGTAAAGCCTATTCAATGAATGGTGGGCCAGGAAGCCTATAGGGGTAGTATACGCCCCCAAAAACGCTCCTTGGAGTCGACGCGGCTCCCAGGCCCGAAAGCTTCGAGGTGTATGGCTTCGACTTCTTGATCGGTGAAGATCTCAAGCCCTGGTGGGGGGCCCCGGGACGGGGCGGTCGACAGGATGGCAGGAGAGCAGATACCGGGTGTTGGGATGGTTTCTTGTGACATCGATGCTTTCCACGCTATATGCCTAAGGCAGGAACGGTATATGCCTAAGGCCTAAGCACAGCGGGCACCCCTACCCTACAGTAGGCGCCCCGCTTTGGAAGCCGAAGTCTCCGCATTGAGGGACCAGAGACCATGGGACCTGGCATAGACCTGCAGCATCCTACAGCCACCGTTCCAACGTAGGTAACTCGTTTCAAGTCAATCCAGTCCCATGGATGGTCTGGGTCCTGAATGTTGGCAAATGGAACCTCATCCAAGATACAAGTCATCCGCGAATGCTCATGAGAAGTTCCGCGCCCACGGGACTCAACTACGGCAGACCCATCGGTCCTGGTGGACTCCACGATGTCCGTGAACGGTCCTATTTTTGCAGAGTTGTTCCATCACCCCGTAGTCGGCTTGGACAAGAACAAGTATACGTGACATCTCCACCTGGACCCTGAATCCGCGAAGAACTGCTTCCTGGTGACCACGTTTTGAGGTCTCAGTGCAGCCAAACTTTGGAGGGTCCTGGTGAGGACCTCTTGGCAGGAACTCAACTTGTAAAAACAGGTTCCAATCAGAAATCATAGCTCCATTATAACTCCATGTACTTCTGACCCAAGCAGCTTGGATCAAACCAGGCTTCGCTGTCCCAAACCGTTTTCACCACATGTTCGAGTCGAAGCGATCCATGCGATCCATCCATCGAAGCCTCAGCCCTCTCCGCCCTCCACCGAATATCTCGTCGCCTCCTCGTCTCGTCGATCGCGAAGCGGCGACGAGGCTTCTGGAGGTGAACCTGAGCCCCGCCTGCGAGTCTCGGACCCAGTGGATGTCTGACATGTTGGAACGCACCTTGGTTCGAAGGGAAAAAGCGCCCGATGGGTCTTATGCGCAGCGCGACGGGAAGTAGGTCGAGTGCAGGTAGCGCGCGGGCGCGCGCGTTCGGCTAGTTCCGTTTCTGATGGGCAGGGAGAGCGGCGGGTTTTGGGTGCCCAAGCAAGGGGGGTCCCTCTTGTTTGGCCATGATGTTTGAAACAAGAAGGGTCCAGAAGGGTCAGTTGAACACCATGAAAAAAGGAAGTTTCAAGACCTGAAGGGGAGGTCATCATGGGATGGGTGCTCAAAGATGATAGACCTTTTGCAGCACGATCGCCGCGTTTCACGGCGCCCCACCACGGAGGGGAGTCCTTGGTCTCCAATATATCGAGTGGCTGTTGGTGAGCATCTGCCAGCCAGACAAGTGGCCTTCTATTCAAACAGGTGAAACACCCAGAGTTGGAAGCTTTGGATGAGGTGCGCATCCTCAATCCTCAATCCTGTTGCGATTGGTGGACCTTGTTTGCATGTTGTGCGTGATCCTGAGCCATTTCCCCAGACACTCCATGTATGCCATATATGCCTACATTTGACCCCCAAAAGTCACCCCAACTGATAGCAGTCCCATGGGTCGTGTCTGGGTTCGAACCACTCGGGGAAAATGGGTCGAGCCCCCCGGAGCCTCCCTCTTCACCATGAACCCAGAGCTTCTTCAGGTCCACTTCACCGCCCCGGCTCGCTCGCTCGTTGGATCGGCGCACACGTAGTCTTCGCAGGTATGGCGTCCAGGTTGGTGGAACTGCTTCTCCAAGGCCACCTGGATTCCACGGGAATTCATGCGATCAATGGTTGTTTCATGTTGTTTCCTTGAAAACTGGCGGGTTTAAGTGTTGTCGCTTCAGAAGGCGGAATCGAACACCCAAAAAGACCAGATGACAATTATTGCGGGGGTAGGTATCAAGACCCTGTGAAGAGGATATTCCCTGCCAGCTTTCACCCAGACGAGCCCTAGGGCCTAGGGGACCTCCAAACGCTCCCTGACCCGCAATTGAGCATCATCAGGCACCCGAAGAACACCTCATACAGAAGAACACTGGCCAAAGGTTGGGAGTTTCAGGCTTACCCTGCAGGTCTGGCACCTTTCAGTGGAGATGTGTCCTCGCCACCTGTCCCCGGATGAAGGGGCATACCCTGTGGGGTCGTTCTAATGAAATTCTAATGCCCAAGTCAACAAAGCCTAGCAAAGCCGGAGGACATTCAGTCGGGGGTTACCTTTTGAGGACCATCATGTTTGCACTTCACCCAAGGATCGGAACCTGCGCTGACCCTGGCCTGTTTGTGCTCGGGGCACGTATATAAGGGTGCCAAATTTGTTTTTTGCGGGTTGGACCTCCCCTTCTGAAGAATATGTTCCCGGTTCCTTCCCTCCTTAAACCTATCCAAGCTGGGGTTTCTGAACATGGGATGTGAAAGCGCACCGTGTGAACGTGGCCGCAACAAATCCGAGTCCAAGGTCTGTTCGTTTTTGTGCGTATGATTTGGGGGTGCCCTATTACCTGTAACAGTGGGTAAACAATTATCATACATTATCATCACTTATTTTAGAGCAAGGCCTTTAATTACTAGCGATGATCATCCAATGTTACTGGCAATGGGGTGTGCCCAACGTATGATATCCATCCCTTTCATGTCACAGTTTGACTTTGTACCTCTGCTGAGGCCATTTGTTGGCAGATGGAAAGGAGCCAGACTGGGTGTGCATTTGTGATGAAACTGCGAACGTGAAGGGAGAGGATCCCATGAGCTGTTGGCTTCTTGGCGAGTTCTTGCCTCCCCCAAGACCGCTCAGTGACAGGAGGCATTCGAACGTAGCGATGCACCTTGTTCCGAGTAGATGGTTGCTAGTAATAATGCCCTTGTTACTAGTAGCGTCCTCATGTTTGCCCAGGTTGGAGAACAAGGAGGACCTCTCCGAAACGTGGGGCCACAAAGATCTGACTGTGGTGGGGAAAGCCTTGAGCAAGCGCGCGGCCCGGCGCCTGGATCAAATCTGGCGCCGCAACGAGGCGCAGATCGCCCTTGCGCGGACCTTCCGCGGCTGCCGGGTGCGCTGGCGCCTCCGCGCCGCGCGCCAGCGCGCCTGCGCGCACCTCGTGGAACACGCCCGCGCGCGCGCCTGGGCCACGCTGCTGCGCCGCTGCGCCGTAGAACGGCAGCGTCCGCCGGCGGCGCGCCTGGTGGTGTCGCTGGTGCGACGCTTCGCGGCGCAGCGCAGGGTCTGGGCGGCGCGGCGGCGGAAGGAGGCCATTGGCATCCAACGGCTTTGGCGTGGTTGGCTGGGCCGCAGGCGGGCCAGCCTGGCGCGGCAGGACCGGGCAGCAACGCGGCTCCAGCGGTGGTGGCGCAGCTCGAAGCTCTTGCGCATGCTCCGGGCCAAGCGACGGGTGCTGTGCTGGTGGCGGCACGTGCAAGCAAGGCGGAGCCGGGCAGCACGGAGCATCCAAGCAGCCACGCGAGGCTTTTTGGGAACAAGGCTGGTCTCCGCAGGTTGTCGCACGTGGGAGTGTCAATAGGGGTTAATGGTGAGTCGCCATCCAGAATTCCAACGACTTGCCTTATCATCCGGGACTGCATGCAAGCAGAGAATCATTCTTGACCTTCTCACCGCGCCCTTGTGGAAAAACAAACGCCGGCCGGTTCCCAACTCCAGATCACATTTTCCATCATTTTCTCTCTGCCGCAGGCGCTATTCCTTCCTCCTCCTGCACCTCGTCCAACCCATTCACCGCCTCACCTATCTCCTCTCCTGCGCGCGCTGGCGCTGGGCCGCGGCCGCCCTCTCCGGCGCTTCAGCCGTCGTGGCCCTCCAACGCTGCTGGCGCGGACGCCGCGGGCGCGCGCGGGCGCGTGCGCGCCGCGCGCTGCGCGAGGCCTTTGGCCGGTGGAGGAGCCGTGGACGCGTGCTGTGGCGGCAGTGCGAGGTTGACGCGTGGGTGGCGGGGCCAGGAGATGCAAAGAGTTTAGGGTCGGAGGGATTGGAGGATCATGTTTTGAGTGGTATAGAAAAGTACGGAGATATACGGATCATACGGTATACAAATTGTATCAAATTGTGGTGTTTCTGAGGTAGTAATTCAGTAATCCCCTTTAAAGTAGAAAGTATCTGCTGGTAAGGAGCAACTGCATAAGCCCAAACAACAACCAAAAAACACATCAGTCTCCAATGGCCTCTTGTACCATCCCCAAGGCCTACCAAGCCTCTGCTGTGGTCCTGCAACGCCTCTACCGCGGTGCTCGCGGCCGCCGTGTCGCCCGGCGTCGCCAACGCGCGCTGCACGCCCTGCAGCGCGCGTGGCGGGCGCAGCTGCGGACCAAGCGACGGGTGCGAGTGCGGGCGGCCGTGGCACTGCAGCGGAGCATTTGGGATGAATGAGTTGTTGGGGGATGGGCAGTTTTTGGATGGTGCTGGACCTGGACCTGGAGGTGTTTATAAATGTTTGTTGGCGATCCCAAGCTTAATGGCGTAATCGTTTCGGTGCGCGCGAGCTTCTGAAACCATTGCGCTGGGGAAGGCTATTAGATCAGTCAGTTCCAAGCCAGTAGAGAAGAGCAGAAGAGTACAGCAATCACAAAGATTCATCAAGCACCTTGCTCGTCCTTGCGCATTGCACACCAGGTGGGTTCTGAGAGTCATCCAATCACGCTAAGCTGAGCATCCTGCTAAGCTTCGCTGCCATGACCGTCAACCGGTCACCATGAACGCGCCTGTGCGCCGGATCAAGAAGCGTCCAGCTTGACCTCGGAAAAATGCAGCCATGATAGCTTCAAGCACGTCTAAGATCGCTCGATGTTGAGAACCCACCGTGGAGTTAGAAGTTAGACGGTCGATTCCTTTTTAAGGGGCGCCCTTGGAGATGTCAACCAACCTGGAGACGGGGGGATTTGATTTGATTGAACATGCAAAGCCTTTTTCTGCACCGAAACCGCTGAACAACGACCGCAACGCTGAACAACAGACGCACCGCTGGTGTTGCGTGTCGCCGCTGTTTGGTGGTTCCCGAGGCTTCCGGGGCTTCCAGTGCCGCAACGGCTTTCGCTTCGCGTGCCACAGCGCACTTTGCATCCAGAGGGCGTTCAAGGGATTCCTGGCCAGGCGAAGTCCGGGCTGTTGTTTGAGGAAGGGAGAGACACGGCATGCCGTGCAACATTTGGTGACATCCATCCTACATGTCCCAAGGCCGATGGAAACCTGGTCCTTTAAACATCACTTCATACTTCATTGAGTAGTGCTTCTGTATGATCAACTCCAGTACAATGAGGTTTTAGACCTGAAGGGGGCATTGCATTTCCCACTCAAAAATGGGGAGCTGTGCCCGCTCTTTCGGGTCTACTGCAGTTGGGAGTCAGCTTGGCGAAGGAAGGATTCCCACCCCGGAGCAGACCAAGAATCCATGGTTGGCGGCAGTTGGTGGAATCTCCCAGTTGATGGAGGTTTTGACCTGATTTGATGCATAAAATGACCTCTATTGCAAGCATTCCGGAGGTGTGCTTGGTTGGCCCAGCTGGTTGCAGCTAAAGAGTTTCTTCTAGGCACCTTTGTCTTTGTGGTTGACCTGATTTGCATGCTTTGGGTCATATTGCTGACCCGGCATTCCTGTACAAGAGCTATTCTCTCAGTTGGGGCACCTTGAGAAAATGGTATGATTTACATCCTGTCTGGTTCTCGGACTCCTGAGATGTCGAAGTTGGGCAGATTTGCATTGTATACTATCGTCATAGGTCTTCCTGTCCTAGGTCCACTTCATTCCACTTCCCTTCTCTGACCTTCAGTGCTCCCCTCCGGTTCAACCAAGTCTTCACAGCCCAGTCCATCCTGAAAAAACCTGCCCAGTGGAACTGTCCACTGTCCGGGCCCCGGCCACAGCTCCACAGGCGCCGCCTGCAGATGCTCCGCCGCTTCGCCACGCTGAAGCAGCGCTGGTTGCGGGAGATCCCCCAGGCGGAGGCAGGTTGCGGAGCATTGCCCTGGAAACATCGAAGACCATTCCGTGGATTTTTCTGTGTATGTTTGATCAGTTCCTAGGCAAAAACACCTCGAAACACCGTGGATCAGGTGGTTTTTCAGGGTCTGACGTTTGTATAATACTTGGTGGATCAGTCTGACGAGGTGTTCCTGAGTGTGGTACTAACAGCCGGCCTTGCCCAGTAGCCTGAGTCGAATCACCATAGCTATGGGAGCTTCATGAAGCTTCCCATGGAGCTTCATGGAGCTTAGTAAACTGCCTTTAGTACTGCAACTTATTTGGGCAAAGAGGCCACCAAGGGCTGTTCTGGTCTGTTCAGAATCGCTTGATGCGATCTTTCGCTGGCTCACAGGCATTTGGATTCACATGTTGCCGTGGGCCGTTTGGATGGTTCTCGCCCCCCCCGTTGGTCACCGGTCGGACGTCGGCGGGTCGGATGTTGCCGGGTCGGACTGCGGCCGTGACAGGATTGGAACAAACATGCCGAGGGCGCATCTGGGCTGAAAGGTGCATCAAAGGTGGTAGATTGGGCGAGATGGCTAAGAAATGTCTTTATTAAGAAGTTCAATTGTTTGCATCATGGTTGAGATGGGTTGGTTGTTCACTTAGGATGGCTTTTGAATGCTCACCACGTGCGCGGTGCTGCTCTAGCAGCTTTCGCATCCGAAACCTGAACGGCCGGAGCTCACCCGGCACGCAAGGATTCATGACCCAATGTCTTTCCCGCCCCAAGTGGCATGCTTTAATATAATATATATATATATATTCCAGGCACTCCATGTATGCCATATATGCCAACATTCGGGTGGCTTGGGGGGTCAATGTAGGCATATATGGCATACATGGAGTGTCTGGGTATACAGTGCACGTATTGTCACGTTCCCAACAATGATAGGCCGGAAGCCAGGCCCCCCCCGCCATCGTGATCCATCATGGACACCTTTGGTCTCCACGATGTTTCGCCGCCCGTTGTCGGCCGATCTCGCATTCTTGAAGCTGTCGACGAAAAAAAGACACCCTATAGTAACAAGAAGCTACTAGGTTGGAGGCCATCGCTATTAGGTTGGAGGCCATCGCTACTAGTAGCAAGAAGCTACTAGTAACAAGGAGCCACGTGTCCCTTAGGGTCTTTCCGAACACCCGCAGCTCCCACGGTGCCCGCCGGCGCTGGGGCAATGACCCGAGGCAGTTGAGGACGCCACGACGCGGAGTTCCACCTTCACGCCCGGCTCGCGCGAGGCGGCGAAAGCGGGTAGCGCGAGGCCCACAGGTTTTTGCTGTTGAATGTTTTTGCAGGGTGTTTGGGCTGGCTGGAATCAGGTGTTCCAAGAGATTCCACGCCGATTCAAGGCCTCTTTAGTCTCCTTTAAAGGTTGAAAAAGGGCATCATCACCAGGGGGGAACACGGTGGAACATGATATGTTCCGGATGGGTCCGGCAAAAGGAACGCCAACGAACCTGGGTTGCTTGTGGAGGTGCAGGTGTTGGACTTCGAAGGCTCTCCGGGTCGAACGAGGCGATTTCAGGTACCGAGAAGAAGACCATGCCACAGGAAGATCTTCTTTGGTCTAACACGTTTGTAGACCATGCCAGACCCATCCAGGCGTCGAACCTTCAGGGCCATTATAGGGTCGTTCGGTTGGAGGCCATCGCTTCGTTCGGTTGGAGGGCTTGGCCCTACCACAACCCCAGCTTTGCTTCGCCCCGCCCCGCCCGCCGCGCTCGCCGTCCAGGACAGCGAGACGGGGTCCGCTACGGCCACGGGGTCCGGCACGGCGGACGAGCGGGAGATCTCCATTGGACTGGTGGAGGAGCCAAGGCGTGCCCGGCGCGAGGTGGACCGGGTGAGGGAAGGAGGGGAACCCCAAGTAGTGGTGGGTTGTCCTACCTGGAGACCCAAACAGGATGCTCCTGGTATCTTAGTATTTTTCAGAAGGGAAAGGGATGGTGGACGGAGAAGAGGATGGTTCCAGTGATGCATCCAGCTCTTGGGGGGCCCGTCATCCACTCCAACAACCTATGCCTTGACTCCTCCTTTGGTTGGTTGGTTGGTTGGTTGGTCGGTTGGTTGGTTGGTTGGTGCTTCAACCATTTGGTCAACCCTCTTAGGAGAATGACTATGACTATAACCAGAGTTTCACTAAGTTGACCCCTTGTGGGAAGGCTTCCATCTCCACACGGTCCGAGTCGGTCCGGCGGCTGGGCAGGTTGCTGGTGAGTGATCCCTCTGCTGGCCCACCCTGTGAGCAGCTCAAGCTGCACTTGCGAGCTGGTGCTGTGGGGGTGGCCATGAAAGCGGCCAAACCCCAGCACTTGAGGGTTGGTACTGATCTCCAAATGAACGGCCGTGGGTCAGAACGAGCTATTTACTATGATGACGTTTTTTTTTTTAAATGTTTTTTGGGGGGCATGTTGCTTGATGTTTTTTGTTATTTCTTGTTTCTCTTGGGTGGAGGTGGTGGAAAAAACTCTGGCTGGTGCGTACTGTGAGCATATATAATAAGCACAGGATATCACAAGAATCAATGTTTGCATATCTTTCAGGGAGTTCGCTGTTTATTTGCATGATCACCCCATGCCCTGAACAACTCCGTAGGTAGACGTTGATGCACTGCACAGCTTTTAGGTGTTGTTGTATATCATTTACTCTTGGGAACATGCGTTGAAACAAGGTAGAAACGCGGCCCTGCCGGTTTTCTCAATGCCCTTTGATGTGGTTGGTATTAATATTGGTTGGTGACGCACAAGTCTCGCTCCATGTTTTGGTGCGTTCTCAAGTCACAAGCAGTTTGGGGCCACCCCCAAGATTGTCTTGATTTGGACATCCATTTAGTGGTCCATGTAAGCGACTGGTTGGCTCAAAGGGCAGGATTGTTTGCCGTGTGAGACCTTGTTTAGCTCCCCTGTCACTGTCGGTTCTTTTTCTCCCATGCCGATCTCAGTTACTACCATTGTACTATACAAAGTGAACGGTGCATGGGGCAGGATCACAAGAGTCGGGAGGCTCCGCCGTCCAACATATATGGAAGCGTCTAAGATGAAAACGGTTACTTTGATATGCACCTTGACCTCATTCCAAGCAAGTAGCTGACTAAGGTTCAGATAAAGTTCTAAACGTTTGGTTTCAGTCGCCCATCATGTTGCTGTGACGGTAATTTGTTCCAATCATTTCACCCAATCATTTAAGACACAAGCACATTAAAGCCTACAATGTGGGCGGTCGATGAACAGCCCCCCCCCCTCAGCTCCAGATGTAAAACTATACAGTGGTTTCAGAGTAGATGTCACTGGTACATACAAACCCGCCCCAAGATGTCTTAGACAGATAAGGGTCCAGAAGTGCACCACCCAACTTGGGAGCGTTTCGATCATCTTTGAGGCCGCCTTGGGCCATCCGCCAGGCGCTTCGGGTGTGGTTCTTTCATCCGCAGGTGGATGAAGAGAAGGAAGGAATGCATGGTAGGTATGAGTACAGTGGATAGTAGTAGCATGAGTATATACTATACGCACGCTGATAGGTTATATAGCTATATATAATATATATATATGTATAGATCCCCCGGATGACTGACTTCAGGCAGGCCGCCCCCCCCCGTTGCATCGGTGCAAGTGGACCGAATCGGATCACACCGGAGTCGGTCGTGTCGTTCCGGTGGTTGGCCACAAGAACTGGTTGCCGATCCGGCCGGAGATGGCATCCGTTTGAAAAGACATGATTGACAGGAGGTCTTTTCATCAGCACGGTTCGCCTCATGGTAACTCAGATTCACTATATAAGCTACGTTTTGGCCAATTTTCTTTTGTGGTAGTGGTTGTAGATGGCACAAGCCACCCAATTATTTGGAGATGGTGCCATTTATTCCATTCTATTCCCATCCACGTTCTTCACAGATCGGGCCAAGCTGCCTCCGAATTTGTCTCCAGCTTTGTAGGTGCTCTGTTTGGATCTTGCATGATCTTGCCATCTGGTTGACACGTCTCCAGGGAGAAGGGGACGTCACCCTCCCAGAAGTGAATGGACCCCCCCACCTGCAGTGGGTCTTCGGATGAAAACAGCCGGGTCTTTGTCACCAGGTGCCGTGTTGTCGATGTAGTGGTCTGCCTTCGTCTACCCTCCGCGACCATGGCACTCAGCTCATCATACCCAGACACGACCTGTCTGGAAGATATGCCGCCCCATTGACCCCAGGTCAACCACCCCAACTGATCGGCAAATGTGGCAGTCCCAGGAAGTCTCTAGGATACAGTATGCCCACCCCGAGGGCTCCAGTCACACCTCCACCACCTCAGTCCCACCTTCTTAGAAGGGAGAGGCTCGCTATACTTGCAGCCCTGGGGCACATCCTCACATCCTCCGTGATCAGTTGGTCAGGTTCGAAGGGATTACCATTTCGAGGATCGAATCTGGGCGGAAGGTGATCAGTCGGTCAGCCGCTTTCCGCCGTTTTGGGTGCGCAATGCCTACGGGGCGCATTTTCTCGTAGCACTCGTCTTTTCTCGGAGGGCTTTGGACAGAAACACATTTACCCCGACATGCGTTTTTTTTTGGGGGTCCTTTTTTTGGTCGATTGGTTGTTTTTTGCAGCTTTGCAGCTTTATTATGACGTGTTAGGATTGCATTCTAACTATAGGATTGCCAGAGTTCGTCAATGTTGTGGGGCGAACGTGCATGACAATAGGAGATGCATGAGCTAGTCTTGTTGAATAGGATTGTACGCCTCATATCCTGCCACAAGCATGCGTAAGAAACATGCCATGAGCAGGGAAACATCAAGCTGTTGGGCATTTTTCTTGAATGGCATTGGCACCGGTCTTTCGTCCCATGGAGTTGACCGGGTGTTTCGTCCCATGGATCCCATGGGCCCATGGGCCGTGGACGTGACTGGGCACCCTCCTGCCCTTCCACTGGTGGGGGTGCTGGACGGTAGGGTGCGAGATCAAGAATCAAGACAGACACTGAACGTAAGGAAAGAATTCATCTGTGGTTCTTCAAAAGTATGTTCTTCAGTGATCTCTTCCGAAGGGTTGACACCTGCGCATTTCGGAAAGGCAAGTTCACATTATCTGCAGGTTGGTGTTGCGCTTCTTGGTGGGTACATGTGTTTAGCAAATCCACCAGCTGATCTTGTCCCACGAAATGTGGTCTGCTCGCGATTCCTCCGACCAAAGTCTTATGACATCCTTGGTGCACAAGGGAGCTGGCACCTCTTTCTGCATATCAAGGAAAAGAGTTCGCAGGACATGTTCCACAAAACGTACGATGTTGCGCAAAAAGGTAGCTTGAGGTTTCCGACAGCTTGACGGGAGACTACGAACCTCCTGGTGAATCGTCTGCGAATTTGATAGGGTAACTCTTGTATGTAATTTTAAGTCAGACTGTGAAGTCCGTGCAACTAATATTCACCATAGAAACTCACCATGTACATTGTGAGAAACTCACCATGTGAGGCATAGAGTGTGAGGCAACTCACTCTATGGGGAAGTCGTTTGGACTCGTCCGTTGTGCGTTCCAAGGACCCGACCAGGCGGCGGGGTCCGGTTCCGGAACGAACCGGCGAATTCGCCGGAGAAGATCGATGGCGTGGAGCGTCCGGAGAAGATCAGTGATCCAAAAGAAGCCAAGTGAGATAAAACGCGATAGACTTTCCATAAGAACCCAACTAAGTTCATAGAGTCGAGAAGGTTTATCATGGGAGTCGAGAAGAATTTCATAGACTTTCCATCGCCAAAAATATACTTCTATATTGCGAGTCTGATGAGACTGGGGAAGTTATCAAGAGAGGGATTAAGGCCTGCTTCTGAGTAACTCTAGTTCGTCTATACGAATCAGTTACGAAACAGTTACTGTACATCCCTCTCATGATTTTTTCAGGCATGATTCTGGCATGAATCGCCAACATGCTGAGTTTCCTCGGAGGCCACGGCGTTGCCCTTGTTGACCCACCTGCAGCACCTGGCGCGGAGCTTTGATGCCATCCTGGCCAGCTCGTCGGCCAGGCGGAAAACGCTGCGACAACGTGCGCGGAAAAAAAAAACGCGACGACGCGACAGCGCACATTGCGGATGGTGGATGGTTGGTACTGCTCCGTTTCGGGGAGGGTGAGCTTTGGATGGGGAGATTCTGCTTTTGCGCCCCAACACTTTCAAAGAGACTGCCTCTTTGGGCGCTGAACGGGCCGTAGACTGGCCGTCCTCTTTAAGAACGGATCGGATCGAGCGCCGACGGCGACCCGCTTGGATGAAGGAATCCCCAACTCCCAACACCACTTGCGTCAGACCCTGGTCATATCCCTGAATCATCCTGAATCACACTGAGACTATCTAAGACTTACCTGAGTCATAGGCGACCAGCCAACGCCTTGGGCCTTGACGCTTCCGCTGCTGAGCTCGGGCTCAAAAAAGCCCGCTCGGCACCGTACCGTCGGGCCGCGTTCCCGGTTCCCGCGAGCGGCGTGCCCGCGCGACCGCGCACGCGCTGTGGTCAATGACTTTGTCCATGTTTTCCTCGTCTTCGTCTTCCCTTCAGGTGCAACTCATGGTCGGTGTTCTGCTCAGTGGAGCCTTCGGAAGCTCTTGCGATGTGGCTCCAGCTTTCTCAGACTCTTTGGGCCTTGGGGGGGGTGTCTCTTTACTGCAATCTTCGAAAAAGCTTTGGATGCAGAATGCACAAAGTGCCGTTGCAGCGCACGCAGTGCAGGATCCAGCACCACCTGCAGAGTCTTCCTTGGCTTCGGATGAAACGTCAGTGGACCTGAGTGAGGCCTTCAACTATTCCATCATCGAGAACGTGTCGATGGTGAATGCTTCAAATAGCACCAAGCTCGAAGAAGTAGGCGACGTCCCCATGATCAAAACCATCAAGGGTGCCAAACCACTGCCGTTGGATGCCACTGAATCGAAGTTGGCCTTGCGGGATTGCGTGATGGGAGAGTGGAGCGAGTGGAGCAATTGCCTCATTACACCGGCCACGGGGCTCAAGGGCCCCCACCAAGTGCGACAGCGCTCGATCATCCAACCGTGGCTGCCACATGGGATGCCCTGCGCCCCGCAGCTGGAGGGCCGTGAGTGTCAGGTGCAGAAACTCCTGAGGTGAGGCGTGGTGAGGTGCAGAAACTCCGGAAGATGACAGACCGCAAGGAACAGCTGAGAAGCGAGAAAAGATGGACGTCTTACTATTTTTGTTTCGAGATGTGTCGAGTGCGTACTCAACCACCCATACCCAGACGCTCCATGGGACTGCCATATGCCTACATTGACCCCCCAAACCACCCCAACTGATCGGCATATATTCCATACATGGAGCATCTGGAATATGCTTTGACTGAGTCCCGGTCTCGAACAGCCCGCGCCAGGCGTGCTGAAGAAGAAGACGAAGCCACCTGGCATACTTAAGCATCAGAGTGAGGAGGGTTTTTCAGCCTTCAGAGCTCCAAAATAGTCCAAGTTCAGTTGTGAAAGGGACCTTTTGGGCGATTTTGGGGACACTTACTTCATGACGTACAGTATCGCTTGAAGAACGGATGAGAGAGCCATTTTAGACAGCAAAGGGCCAGTGTTCGGTGAAAGATCAGCTTACAGTGCTGTTGTGTTGTCAGCACCTAGGCATGTAGCACCGGCCACCCACCCCTGAAAAATGAGAAATCATACCCACCTCCACCTCCACCTCCACCTCCACCCACCAGCACCACGCCGCCTCAGGACCCCCCCAGCGACGACGCGGCGCCCTCCACGGGCAGCGCGCTCCGGGCGGCGCGGCAGCTCCGCGTGACGCAAGGCCGCGCGGCTCCGCGGCGGCTCCCGGGTGCGGCGGCGGTCGGACGTGAGCGAGCGTGAAGGGAGGCGAACCTTGGGGGTGCCCTGGATCGTTTTTTGGGTTCGACTTGCGGCAATGGATGTTTGGGAGGATGTTTCCGGAGGATTAGGATGGCCGAAATCTGGGGTTGTTGAACGCAAGCCTGATTTTCTTGCATGTTTCAAGCATGGGGGTCGTTACCCAGACACTCCATGCATGCCATATTTACCTACGTTGAGGTGGTTTTAGGTGTCAATGTATGTATAAATATGCCATACATGGAGTGTCTGGGTTATGACTCCTCAACCAGGAGTCCGGAGAGTTTGCCCCGTCGCGCGTCGCTACGCGTCGCTCTGCGTCGCTCGCGAGGCTATACGAAGCCGACAGTGAGCTCCACTCGAAGGCGGAAGATGGTCGGGCGGGGACGGCGCCCGGTCGATCAGGATGCACGAGTCGGGGTGGGGGCGGGAGAAAGGTGCAAAGAACATGGATGTGCAACGAGAAGCATCCCAACTTGGAACCCCTGACCATATGGATGACTTCATGATGAACTCGCACATCACATGCTTTGACACGCTGACAGTCACAGGGGTCCCTGTAAGACCGGGATCTCCCAATTACCGTCGACCTCGTCGACGGTCGAATTGGAAGCGGCACAAAACAAGGCATGTGCCGAACCTTAAAGGCGGTGGGACGGACTCGCTGGAGGAGTTGTGAGGACTTTCACCACTCAGAACTTGATCAAACTTGTACTAGGAACCATTAAGCTACCCCAGACGCTCCATGTATGCCATATATGCCTACATTGACCCCCCAAACCACCCCAATGTAGGCATATATTCCATACATGGAGCATCTGGGTATTATACTAGGGGCTCCTGGCATGGCTACGAACGGAGCGATCGGACGCTACTAGGAGTCATGACACAGACACGACTAATGGGACTGCCAGGACGGACTGCCGCCCCATTGACCCCCCAAACCACCCCAACTGATCGGCATATATGGCAATCCCATGGAGTGTCTGGGGTACTGGTTTCAGTGTAGATGGCACAATCCCCAAGGTCGGTGGTGAATGTGGACACCCATTTGCCCAAGACATTTTTAGGTGAAAATGGTGCCATTTCTCACCTCTGATGGCCCACTGTACCTTGTTCTTCTGTTCGTGACCCAACTTGATCCCCTGGTTGGTTTGGTCCGAAATCACGGCCTCCATATGGTTTGCTCACTGGATTGGACTCCAGGTTCGGTTCGGTCGGAAGGTCGCGACGGTCTGTTCGGTCGCTAAGCCGCTTGCCAGGCGTTCTTCAAGTGCGCCGTTCTGGCCACACCCAGCACGTCACGAACATACCCCATCCCCACATATACATACATATCCCAAAATGTATAAAAAGGACAGCTGGGAGTCACAAAGGGGCTGATCTTGAGATATCTGAGTGATTGGCTGTTCTGGGCACCTTGACAGTCGTTTCCAGCGCTACTTAGCCGCGTGGGAGCCCCGGCCAGCACAGGACCACCAAGAGTCCCAAAGTGAAGGGACCACGAAGGGCAAAGCAGGAGGCCAGCGATTGGGGTGCGTTTCTGGGGCATTTTGGGACACCTCCGGAAAGGACATCAAGTACGGGACCGCTCCATAGGCCGGGGGATTTCGCAGTCGATCTCCATTGGAGTCGCCCAATTCCCCACTCCAAACCCAAAGAAGTGCTGATTCCAAGGACCTTTCCTGAAACGGGGAGCCGTTCAGAGCTACAGCTACAGGGAGGAACCCTTCACCACTTGCTCGCCGGGTTTTTCTTCGTGTGTGGCGGCGTCCTTCAAAGGTCCTACCGACAGGTATGATGGAGGCCCATCATGATCCTCAGGCTCAGGCTCATAGTCATCCAAAGAAAATCCTATATAATATATTGTAGAATATTGTAGCCTTCCAAGACCATCTGCTATTTGTATAATTTTATATACGGTTGAAAGGATGGGGTGACCTGTTGTTGTAGTCTAAAATCCTTGTGAAGCAAGTCCTTGGCGCTTGGAATTGTTGGGGCAAAGCCAGGATGAACAATTTTCCACTTCTCACAAGAATCACTCCAACCAAAGTCTGGGTGAGTTAAGCACAGACATTTGGACTCAGGTCTGGGTTCACCCAGGTGTCCAGCTAGGTTTTTCTTCGAGGGGCGCCATCAGAATCCGCTTTTCGACCTGAAGTGAGACCAAGCCCAAGACACTCGTTACTCAACCGCTGGCATGGATCCCAACAGGCCCCTCTGGGGGGGTTCTGAGATGTTCTGGTGGGGAGTTCCTTGTTGGAGGCCGACTTGAATGCGCTGCTGATGCGAACGCCACCCGACTGGGACGACGGAGCCGCGGTTCGGGCGTTGGGGAGCAGTGACCCCCCCGGTGGTTTCAGGGTCCCAGGAGCCGCTAATGTGGATCGCGGAAGCCTTGAAGCACTAGTTTCCACCACTATGGCTCCACTTATTGAGAGTTCTCAGAATATCCGACTTCTCTAAACATGATAGGGGACAATTTTGCTTATTCAACAGCATCTGCATTGTTCACCCTTTCTTTAATGCACTTTGGGATGGGTTCCTGGCACGGACGGAAGTCCACCAGCTTTGGCAGACGCAAGGCCGGCCAAGTCTCCATTTGGAGGCATGGGAATTGGGAACTCTCACTTTGACCTGTTGGACACGTTATACTTAGGAAGTTGCAAGAACGGGTGCATTGCTTCAAGATTCCAATTTTTTATCGAAATTTCAAAGAACAGCAAAATCAAAAGGCTAAGCACAGTGAGATGAGTACTCAGAAGTACGGGCAAAGATCCATAGGAAGCCCACTCAAATACAGGGTACACATATAACTATATAACTCTGAACAGAGGCCCGAAACAAAAACATCCCGATGTTCTTTTCTGGGTGATCTTTATAATAAGACACCAACGCACCACACCACGGTCGGCTCCACCCGTGATTCGGATCGGGCTACGGTCGCCCTCGCCCATGCGGCGCCGTGCGGCGCCGTGCGGCCCAGGTATGTGCCGCAGTTGGTGGGGCCGAGGCGGGCGTGCGAACGGGCAGCATCCGCGGCATCCGGCCAGTGTGCGGCAGCGCAGCCATATATTGGAGGTTCGAAGATCCCGAAATATCCCGAAGAACCATTGTGGTATAGTATGTTGTATAATGTAGACTTTGGATTAATACACCCCCTCACTTGAATTGAACATCCTCTTCAAAGGGGGGGTTTATGGTCCTCAAGAGTCTACACTAACTAAGGATTTGGCACCTACAACAGGTCATACCAGGTCAACTGGTCAACGGAGGGCTGGGGTCACCAGGTCAACCACGAGTTCTTTTATTTTTTCTCTGGTCTCTGACTTGCTAACATGGAAGTGGAACAGGATTGTTGGGAACATGGAAGAATTTCTTTAGGCTTATGTTGAGGAAGTTCAACTTCCACTGGGTGTGATCCAAATAAGACATATTAGGAAGAAACACGTAGAAAATACATAGCATACAAAATAGGAACATATCATATACATAGGAACAAACCTAGGAAACCAATGGAACGACAAAGGAACCATCATTGAAAAACAAGGAACAAGACAACATGGATGAACATGATGAAACATGGAGCTTGAAGCAGCTAAAAAAGGACAAAGCTCAGGAAACCCAACCATGTAACAAAGAGCTCAGGAAATGGATCCGCAGTTCGGTGGGGGGGTTCGACCCGGGGTCCAGGACTGTAGACTGTACGTCTGGACCTGGTCTGCACAGCGTTAACTCGCAAAGACCAAGACCACCATGAGGGCCGCACTGGGACGCACTGGGACAAGCCGTTGGCCTAGCCAGTAGCCTAATAGGGAAACATCGGAAACACAGGTAGGAAATGATATGAATAATCACGAAAGCTAGCATCAGCTAGCTGGAGTTGTCCTTGCTTTAGCAAGTGAATTTGAAATCGGAAAGAGAACTCGCGCCAGAAATAGGACAACTAGGCCGCTCGACCCCCGCCCTTTTCCATGCCCTGACCACATTTCGGACCCACCTCCAACCCTAGCTCGACCCCTCCACAACCTCACCATCCTCCCTCAAACACTGTCGCTTGTTAAGTTCGCCATACCTCTTCAGATGTTTGGTTCTGTGCTTTTGATCCTTATGGTGGCATCCTTGCCTTTCTTTGTTTTTTTTCTTCTTGCTTGGCTGTTTGTTTTGTGTTTTCTAGATTTGTGTGCCCTATGTTTTTTATTTTTATTTTTACTTTTTATTTTTAATAGATGGTCTCTCCTAATCTAGCCTTTTTTGGCAACTTACGATGCCACGCTTCATTCAGCTCAGCATCACTTTGGGCTCAGCATCACGTGGTCGGTTCCATCTGTTTGCTCCATCTGTGACGTACGGCCTCACGAGGCGCAGAGAGTCACAGCCCTCGCCCTGGCGCTTGTCCAATATCGAGCCTGAGCCGTGGCTACTTTGACGGTGGATTCTGAGAGAAGAGAAGCCTGAGCAGTGGTTTCGAGCAGCTTGCTTTTGAAAAAAGCCACTGATTTTGAGTCATGAAACGTGTTCCAAGTTTGTTGAAACTGGTTTGGATGTGAATGGAGACATCAGACTGACATCAGCCTGCCCCACAGGATTCAACACCTGAAGCTTCAAATCCACCGAGAAAGGCGCCAAAGAGAACGCCCAAAGAAGCGCCCAAAGTGGCGGTCGAGTTTCACAGGCTTTCTCCTCTGCGAAACGCTGGGAGAAGAAAGACCGGAGGGGCGCTGGTGGGCCTTCATGCTTGAGACTATAGATATAGGTAGGCAGACAGGTTGAGAAGGTGGGGTGGTATGTTTGTTTCATTCTGGAATTGACATGCATTGATTGAGGAGGCCTAGAAGGCAAGGGGTCTTGGCGGCAAGTGCTTGCAATTTGATGGATCTTTGGACTTTTGCTTTGAAGGCTGTCGGCTGTAGTGCCAAGAAGGAGACCTTCCCTTTCCCCAAAAGCCCTGCTTTGGTCCATCCGGTCCGGTCTGGTCGACCAGAACTGGCCCCGGTAGGAGACGGTCTCGGTCTGTCTCGGTCGGCGTTCCCGTCGAGGGAAGAACTTCTGGAACGCCATCTATGACTTCACGGGACGGTCGGATGGAGCCAATTGGTTCGGATGGCCCAGTTCGGCGAGTTCGAGGTGTCAGGCGTGTGGGTGGCATTTGGAGGTGCAGGCCTGGTGGAATCCACGGGATGATGGGATGGATGCTTTGTCTCATTGCTGTCCCAAAATTCAGGGGATCTGATTCTGAGGGCGGAGCGTGAAGAACCCTATATCATATCCCATAAGTACGTCCCCCCAGTCAGGCCTCCAGGAAAAGATCACAAACGAACATCTAGTTCCGGAGTGTTTTTCGCGCTCCCCGAAATCCAGCTTCTTGACCTTGGTGGCGCCCTGAATCCTCCCATTTAGAAGCCGAGAACCATCGATGGTCAGCCATATGGTCAGCCATTTGGGCCGAGCCCACTGGAAGAGAACCGCCGGGTGAATGTAGTTCTTCGGTTCGTCCCAGCTCCTTGTAGCTTGTTCCTAGTAGTACGGCCAGGGGGCCGTAGCGCCGTAGCGTCCGATCGCTCCGTTCGAGTCGCGATGCCCTTGCGATCATCGCCCCAGCTCGCCCAGCCGGCGGACCCTGAGGCGAGTGCTGCCGCTGGGCGAGTGCCGCGAGTTGGAGCTGCGGCTCGGAGAGGGCGACCAAGGTGGGAGGAGAGGAGGATGGGGGCGGCAGGTGAGGCAGCTGGCTTTTGCTTAAGGCTTAAGGACTGGCTTAAGGTATCTTAAGGTGATTTTTATATTCCCTATAAGGTTAATTATGTTAAATCCCCTTCTGGGGAAGATGTCCTCATTTTTCTCCAGGTTCCTCAAGCAAATCCAAGGGCAGGTGGGGCCATTGGGGGCCCGCTGGGCCCGTAAGACGCGTGAGTCTTCAAGATAAATGTTGGAGCCAAAAGTCAATCATCTGACAGGTGTTGGTCTAACAAATGACAAGGGTCTTTCAGGTTGCTGGAGATTCCTGGAATGAGACAAAGTCGAAGTGGACACGGAGAGACTCGTGGTGACCAATCGTGTTTTGGGCCAGAGGTACTTGTGTAGGTTTGTGTGTGTCCTTTGTGGACATGTAAGGCCAACAATTTTGGGAGGTGAACGGGTGACGGCACGGCCTGTGGCGTGACACGTGACAAGAGAACGGGCACACTCCCTGGAATCATCATTGAAGTGGACAATGGCCCCTTGGATGAGGATGTTCCTCTACAGTACAAACAGGTGGTGGGCTCCACGTCCATGACATTTTCCGGGAGGGTTTTTGAATCAGAATTGTTGGTTTGGTCTAGCCGATAGTGGCCACCATCCATTCATAAACCTCCTCCGCCGACCTTCAAATCCCTACCAAAGTTTGAACCTCACCCCCGTTCCACGAGGTTTGCTTGAAGAATCCTGTAAAAAGGGATTTCTATAGATTCCATGATTCCATGTCCTAAGAATGACGTTCACTAGACACCCCCGATCAGCCACGGTTGCTTGAAGAATCCTCCAGATACTGAAGGGATCCTCCCATCGGCCAGGCTGGCAATGTCCAGCTCCAGCTCTCAGCCGCGCACTGAGTGGGCACTCCTCAGCAGGGACATGGCAACACCACCGGGGGCTGGCAGAACTTCGAAGACTTTTGAACTGGGCGTTTAGCTTGCTGGCATTGTACTCAGTGATCTCAGTGTTGCTTTTAGTCTGTCTTGTCATTTATGGATTTGGTATAATCAAGTTATATACTTATCGCATATGGTTTTGCCAGGAACCGGTGGATTTTTTAGGTGGCTACGGAATTCCCTTGGGCCTGGCGCCCTGGGCCCAGCATGGCACATGGCCCCAGCGGTCGCCAGGTCATGAGCTGCTGTGCGCCGCGCCGTTGAAAAGTGTGGGCACCCGATCGCGGCCTTTGGAGTGAAGGCTTTTGCAGCCGCCCACATCGGGACGTCCTTCCGCGTGTTGGGTGGGTGCAGCGAGAGGAATTGGTGTGAGGCATCGGCATGGGCAACAAAAGGGGTCCATCGAAGCAGTTGTGTTATCTAATTGTTGATTATTACTGGTTCCCGCTGCAGTTCGGCAGTTTCTCTACAATTGACTAGACTAATTAATATTGACAAAATCATCATCTTATAACCGGGCTTGGTCCACAATGCTTCCAAATCTGCAACTTGGACTAGGCCGCCACTTTAAAAAAGAACGTGGTGAAGAGAAGACCCCCCGGTGCCGTTCACAGCTTCAGCATGCGAAGACCCCGCGGCACCGCGCGCCGTCCGACTGAGGCGATGACAGCAGCGGCCAGTCCATGACCCAGATCCCTCAGACACGTCCGGAGCTGCCTCCACTGGTGCCAGGTGTCGTGTCGGGACCTGGGGTGACCAGCCGCGGAGTTGGGCGTGGTGGAGGAGAAGCAGAGCAGCTGGGGTTCGGCAGAGTCTGGAAGAACAGCTTGGTCTTACCCGCACATGGATGTGGGTGCCCATATGATTTCCGGCTTCCCACCTCTTCTCCCGAGGGGTCAGTGAGGCTTCTTTTGGTATGGACAAATGCGAACATCCAAGTCCTTGGGCAAAAGCGCTTGGACAAGGGTTCCGGACAAAGAATGGATTGACTTGAATCAAGGCGATGAAGGCTATCACACCATGACGCCAGGACGTAGATTATAAGTTTTTCGCTTGCGCATAGCAACTGGCACTAAGCTGCAGAGGCTTCCTCACCATTCTGCGTCGCGTGTGGATGGAGGTGCCGTGGCGGCCCGGCAGACGGTCTACAACCAGGAGGTGGGCAGCCCAGCCCCTGACCTGGGTGAATGGTCCATCCTGGCTGAGAGACTCGTGTCAGAAAGTGGGTTTTCAAGTGTATGTTTGCTAGCTCGCTATTCAAGAAATTACTGTACGTCAAGTGGGAGATGTAGCTGTTGAAAGGCAACATTTACAGGATGAAGACCTATAGATGCTGATAAAACTGTTCGATCAGAGTTTCTAAGATCATTGAACAACCAAAACATACCAGCACCTTCATGTCGGGGTCACCTGGCTGGTTTCGCCCCAGCCCACCACTGGACCTCCAGCCAGCCCCCACCCCGAAAGAAGGTCCAGAAATCTAGAAGCCCAATCCAACGACATCATCACACCAGGAGTCACAAAGGAGTGGTTTTTAGTCCCCAAGTGAGTGGATCATGGGCACCCCTATCCTCCAATAGACACCCCTTTGTGACTCCTGGTAGAAGCCCTCGTCCAGATCTTCGCCACCGTAGACACGCGGAGACCTGCAGGTCCCGAGCGTCCAGCCCGGAGCACCCGGTTCCGAGTGGAAACGGTGCGGAAACGATGCTCGCGGCAAGTCTGACTTAGCCAACAGAAGTGGCAATCGAAGTGGAGTTCACAATCATGCCAACAGAGGTTGAAGGACCCTATGGGGTATACCCCATAAGTTAGATGTACTAGGGTCCTATAAGGTCACTTAACCTCTCTTGGGCATGGTTGGTATTTGCATTTCAGGGTCTAAAACCAGGGCCATGCATGGTTATGCCATCCACTTCCAGGCTTTTCTACCTCACTTGGCACGCGGCGCGATTTTCGCGGGCGCCAGGGCCAGCTCAATACACCCCCCGCAAGCCACCGTAGGCTTCACCTGACAGGCGCAGGAACCCCTTAAAGTGGCCCGAGGCGAGGCTCGGGTCACTTTCCACCACCTTCTGAGCCGGACTGAAGCATGTCTCCAGCCAGACACGACCGGGACTGCCAGTCCGGACTGCCGAGAAACGGCCAGGGGTGGTTGACCTGGGGTCGGGGCGGCATATATGGCAGTCCCATTAGTCGTGTTCTGGGTTTGTTGGAAGAGTTGGTGCCATCAGGAAAAACAGACACAGTAGGGTGGCAGTAGGGCAATCGATCGGGCATATGTGCTTGCCCGGGTTGGCTGCATGTTGAAACATCCTCTTTTGAGGTTCTCACTATGTTGATCCTTCTTCCACCTGGAATTGCGGAGATCCTCCCGGTGCTATGCCCACGCGACCGAGGCCCACTGCCCCTGCCAACGTGGGGTATCCAGATGGAGGCGACGCCGGGGCTTTCGGTGCCCCAAAGACGTCCCGAACGCCAAGCTGCCAGACCGCGCTGAAGAAACAGTAGACGGCACAGAGCCGGTGTTGTGATGGACCGTGGTGTTTGTTTATGGATGAGTTGCCCAAAGAGTTTTTGGATGATTTTACATGTTGGTGTAGGTAAAACAGAAGATAAAGGAAAACTGTTTGTACGTCCCTGGTGTGTACGGCGGCTCCCGTCCGAGCTCAACTCCCTTTCTTAAACGGGAGCCCCTAAATGAGGCGGGTGTGTTTCAGGTGGGTGGTCTAGGGGTGCTACTTTTATAAAGTTGCTAGGTTGGAGGCCATCGCTCTTAGGTTGGAGGCCATCGCTCTTAAATTGACAGATTCCCCCACAATGAGCGGCTCAGTAA